GTCTAGGCAGCCGTGTGGTACTGTGTAACCCACGCCGGAAGCGCATACAGCCTTCCTCTTCAGTAAAGGTCTGTGCGACAGTGTGGTCCTAAGTTACCCACTTGGTTAGCGCTTAAAGGCATAACCGTTGTCGAATCCCGTACGGCGCGACAACCTTCAACGTTGGACGCCGCTGGTGTAGCAGGTCCACACGCCGGACAAAAGACCCATGCCCTTGGCATTGTCGCAGCGGATCATTGGCTTGCTGTATGCAGAGCTGTCGGCGCGTTGACAGCTCCGTGCCGATTCTGCGTCCTGGCGGTCTGAATAAGACGCCCCAGTCATGACGGAGGTGGGAACATGACTCACCAATGCTCCGCCATAGACCTGAACTTTTAGACCCTTATCAGCCTTGCCACACGAAAGTCCGGGCTGTGCCTTGTGTTCGACACAGCCATGTTGTTCATGCGAGAATTGTCAGCGGCACCGCGGTGCGCGAGTTCCATAAACCCAAACGCTCAGGTCCTTTGAGGACGATTGATACTTCCTTCACCGTGCCAAAGGCAAGTCCACCAAGGACCAGCCCACGACTGCCACTCTGACATAGAGTGTAGTCGGGTGTCGCTATGCCAAGCGACGTTCCGGCGGCGTATCAGGACTCATCAAACGTTCAAGGGGTACCGTACGCCCGTACACCGAGTGTCCTACCAGCAGCCCATCCCTGCCATTCACCGGTTTGGGAGAACTACGTATGGAGTAGTTATTTACTCCAGAGTTGCGGATAATAGCCCGTCGACAAAAATGCACCGCCCAAGATGTTCAAGCGACGAACCCTCGGTCACGTGATGTACCGTGACTCCAAGGTGCAAGAGACTCGACGATGTCACTACTGAACACTTAGCGGATACTGGATACGGTCCAGATGTCACTCGATCAAGGCTGTTCTTATTATTAACAATGGACTGGCCGGATTCGCATTCAGCGGCCAAGATCTGACCATCTACGGTACGAACCCTCGGTGGCGGTTGGGATGATTTCGCAGAAGACTCCGCGACCCTTTGAAGGCACGTTCACCGTCTGGGACAGGGCTCGATCTGTTTAAGATGCTCATGCGATGGTGCAGACGACGCTTGGTGTGCAAGAAAATCCATAACGGATCATTGTTCACTTGATATTTGTATGCCTGATAAGGACTTCCTTTTAGGAATGGGCTCGATAGGACAAACATACATATAGAACAGAATTTCTACTCAAGCACACAGAGCGACGTCCGGCTTCAAGGTAAGCGTCTGGTTAAGCTTGTTTGAGTGTGTTATGCCTGTCGGTGAGCTCGAAGCTCTGTAGAGAGGGTTCATCCGGCAAGGCCAGGAGACTGTGTATTTTGGCCGATTACTATCGGGAGGCTTTACGTGACGGCTTATTGTTGCCTATTTGCACGACTTGGATTGCTTGTATTGCATCCCTTTTATTCTTCCAACAGAGTGTTAAACACTCGGTGCCCTTATAAAAGGCTTACCCGTGCATGGTACTCTTCCACTGTTGGGACCACGAGGATCCATAACACCTATTAGCTTTGCTCGTGCTCGTAGCGTGTTCTTATTTTTACTGGTTGGCCTATATAAGTAGTTTATAAGGTCCATTCTGTCCCGGTGCAAGGGCAGAACTGGGGTCTTCAGGTCCGCCCGAGCGATCGTTTGCTATTCTAGCAGACGTATTGTTGCGGGAACGTCCTAACTACATTTGAAGCTAGAGTTCACGTGGGAATCCCAACACCACAGTATAAACATCCGTTTCTAAGGCAACCTGGATCTGGTGGTGACATACATGAAGCTGCTGGAGTGCTACCCGTTCGACAGTGTCTACGGGCTCACCAGCTTCATGTCCATGGTCGAAATGGACAAGATCCTCATCATAAACCATGTCGAGTGCTCAGCGTCCGAATCTTATGCGCTCGGGTCTGCTGTAGATAGCTGTGCGCTCCACGTTCAACTCGGCTTCGAGCCCGAAGTTTGCCAGCTCGACGGTCGTCCGTTCCATCCGCACGTTGTACAAGCGCATGACTGCCAGTAATGGATCTCGTCGGCTGTCACGACCACGAGCAGCACGATCACCACACCCACCACGACGCTTAACGTATCTGACACTCTGCTGGAGGGCTTGTATGACTCGACGGATCTTTGATGGAGCTCGACAGAAACGAGTTCAAAAACGTTGGGGGTCAGAAACACTTTGAAACATGGACCCACGGTGATGGCGACCGGCTTCAACTGCGATACAATTCCCACGACTGAATTGGGCGGTACCATTGAGACGACCACCACTGGATCCGGAGGTACGACGACGACGGTGACGACTGTATCTGGTGAATCAACGACCACGATTGGCAACACCTCTTTGACCGGATCGCACTGGACACATCAGACTGCCAACCAGAGGTATATGTCATTTTCCTCATGCCTATGGCGCAGTTTACATTGTACTATTCGCTGCGTCATCTTGCGTAAGAATGAAATGAGAATGTAGCTAGAACGGTCAAAGATAACAAGCTGCTAGGCTTTTTAAGCAATTCGACTCAACAAAAAATTCAATAGGGAGCACAATTTATGGTTTTGGCACTTATCTATGGACCTCGACTTAAGGTAATCCTGGTCAGGATCAGAGGGGCCACTACTAGAGATGCTGAGGTACGCTTTAGTTTTGACAGCAGCTTCAAATTTGGTACACTGTACCCTTCAATGAACATCGATAGAGAAAGACGTTCGAAAATGAAAACGTCTAAACTGGTGTAAATACCGGTCAACGTTTCTTATAAAAACATTTTATCCTTACTGTACAAATAAATTGAAATCAATAAAAACAAAATAGCTCATTTTACAGTTAATTTCAGATAGTGAAGTTTCAATGATATACCAAAGTGAAGTTTGTATATGCCGTCTGTGGCTCCCAGGAGCTGACTGCCTTGTGCGACTTGGCATTTTAGCACATTCCGGAACATACAGCGACTGGTGACGATAAGTCCGAACGAAGTCGCCCTTGCCCCGTTGTTGTCCTTAAACGTGTGCTCAAAAATGTCAAGCATTAATAGTTCGTTCTTCTGCTGTTCGGAATAGGACATATACGTATCCCCATCGTTCGTGTCGTCGAACGATGATCCCAAAAAGAAGACATCGCTTGAGTGGCACATTCGAGCACTAGCCCACTCTTTCAGGGCCGCTGGGGTCGATATTTCCCATCCACCTGTAGTACCATTTCAATAACGACATGTTTAAACATTTGTAGCTATTTGCATATATGATTGACAAAAAAAAATATACTTAAATGAAAAAAGTTAACCCGCTGTTGACGTTTTCAAGTATGCCTTCCTGTTTTTGAGCTGCCCCTCAGTTGGAAGCTGCCCCATCACATCAGCGCCTTTTTCATGTCTTGCCCGAAGTACTTCTTAGGCCTCGCGCCCCTAAAAGCATCGTATCGGCCTCATGCTATAGAAACTATTTCAGGAAACGCTAGCTTGGGGGAGGGCGCGCGAAACGAGAAGTGCCGCCCCCACAGTTCCGGCGGATGGAACCTTCTAGAACCTTCTAGAAGGTTCCACGGCCGCCCTACATCTGCCTTTTTGTATTACATACTGAATCTATGTTAAACTAAGCCTGTCTCTGATTGGCTGAAACTCTACACCTATCATATCTGATACACTCACCCTCCCTCTGGCGTGCGCGTCCCCTCAGTCTTGTCATTCCCGAAATTGCGCTGAAGGCCAGAGGTGCCGTTCCCTGACGGATTAGTCCGACCCCGTGTTTACCCACGCTTGTCTTGTGCGGGCCTGTTTACTTGGGGCTTGGATAGGTCCGTCCTGGGGATGGCTGTGCCTCCTGCGTCTGCTGCTGCTGCTGCCACTAGCTCGCCTTCTGCCGCTCCCTCGCCTCGCTCGCCGACGCCGCGTGCTCCTGCTGCAGTCCCTGCTGTTCCGGCTGCCATGGTCGATGTTCCTGCTGGTGCTGTAACTCCACCGTCACCTGTACGGGCTCCCGTTGTTCCCTCGTCGCCTGTACGGGCTTCTGTTGCTCCCTCGTCGCCTGTACGGGCTCCTGTTGCTTCATCGTCGCCTGTACGGGCTCCTGTTGCTCCATCGTCGCCTGTACGGGCTCCTGTTGCTTCATCGTCGCCTGTACGGGCTCCTGTTGCTCCATCGTCGCCTGTACGGGCTCCTGTTGCTCCATCCCCAAACGACGCGGCTGCTAAAGCTCCTGGCTCAAGTCTCATGCCTCCCCGTTCGCCTTCGTCTCCTGTTGGCTCCTCTTTGGCTGCGCCTCACGATGCCTCTGCGTCGTCGCCGCCCACCGTGCTCCAGCAACTCATCTACGAGATCACGATCGAAGGGTTGTGTGGAGATGACGTTGATGATGCTGGTGATGATAGCGTTGCAGTTGAGGATGTTCCTCTTCAAGAGGTGGGATTGTTTAACGACGAAGATGAGGAGGACACCCAACGGACGAAGCGCGCTCGGCTTCGTCGTGGCGATGAGACGTCGGACTGGCATCCCTTTCCGCTTCCGAAAGCTCCGGAGAGACATCTAACTACGAACCATCGCAACCACTATAATCCGGATGCTCCTTGGGATTATGCGAACTCGGCTGGAATTACACGCTTGCTTGACGTCGAAGGGGGATCTCCGCACCGCTGCTATCTTGTTCAGTGGAAGGGTCGTCCGCTGCAGATGAGCTGGGTCTGGATGGAGTTGCTGGACAAGGAATCGACGCGGTACATGATGCAAAATGTCGACGAGTGGAAGGCTTCGGGTTCTGAAAAAACATTCATGGGATGGTACGACGTTCGTGCTAGTGCTTCCGAAGCTGGTACGTATTTCATGGATGCTCTCCGCTGCGCGCTGTACCATCTTGGTCGGCCCAATCTGGTTACCATGGAGATGTGGGATGAGTATGAAAAAACTCGTCCCGAGGCGATTGCGTTTGGCGTATCTCGCGAAGACGTCACGGAGTTCTGGAAAACGCTTCAGCGCCAAAGTGTTCCGTTGGACTACGGCATCATGCTTCCCAATATTCTTCATGAATCCATCGGGAGTGTTGCGACTCTGAACCACTTCTTTGAAGCCTTGGTTCCGAGTACATACTTGGTGAGCGCGGGCCAGGATGACATCGGTCACTGTTTCGTCGTGGAGAAGACTGGTCCCAATGCTCGCCTGGTCGTGCTTGATGGGTACTCGGCTGACCAGGATCCACCGATGGAAGTGTCTCTCCTCTCGAACTACCTTTGGATTGAGAGTGTAGTGGATTAGTCGTATTCAGCTTCAACTTGGGTACGTGTGTCGCCACGGCAAACGCACTTCGAAGACGGCGCGTAACCGGAAGAGACGCTTGATGCAGCAGTAGCTTCAACTTGGAGGGGATGTAGTACGGGAATACATGTAGGTCTTTGAGCCCCCCTTAAGTTGATTTTACTTCATCTTCTCTTTCGTTTCTTGCGCCTTGCAGTCTCAAACTCTGCGATTAGATCTGGGACTTGTGACAAGTTTTCAACCGGTTCCCAGGTCTGCTTCTCTTCTCCCACCCACTCCACAAGGAATTGGGTCCGTCGCTTGTGTGTCCTCTTCTTCACCAAGCGTTTGACGATCTGGCCGATACTTCTATCAGCCAGTACAACCTCGTTGGGTCGCGACAAGCGTGTCGACTCGTTGTACGGCTTCAGCGAACCCGTATTGAATACTGGGTGAAGCTTGTTGCCAGCTTGAATGTTAAGTTCGTAAGCATGATTGTGTATCTTCCGCACAACAGAGTAAGGTCCAATCCACTTCGGACCGAGCTTAGTGGATGCTGGCAGACCAGTGTGCTTGCGGTCCAAGTGTTTGGTGCTCAAGTACACACGGTCGCCAACCTCAAAGACTTGTTCTTGTCGGTTCTTGTCGTAAACATCACGCATTCGCTCTTGCGTTTGAGCAAGTGTTTCACGGCATCGAAAAAGAATAGCTGCTTGGCGCTCGTGAAACTCAGCGCCTCGACGACTCTTTGTAACCGTATCGAGCTGCTCCGCTGCAAGCTGTAGCAGATTCAGCGGAATATACCCTAGATCCGCCTCGAACGGTGCGAGCTTAGTACTGGAGTTCGCCGTTGAGTTGATAGCAAACTCAGCGTTTGCTAAGTGAATGTCCCAGTCGTCTTGACGTGGACTGACGAAGCATCGAAGATACTCTTCGAGCGTTCGATTCATTCGCTCAGTTTGTCCGTCGCCTTGGGCCAGGTGTGCTACTGTCATGCTGAGTGACGTGCCGATAGACTTGAAGACGTGTTGCCAAAACGCAGACACGAATTTTCTATCTCGGTCGGATACAATATTCGTCGGCATACCGTGAAGTTTCCAAATGTTGTCGATGTAGAGACGGGCAACGCCTTCGGCTGTTACCTTCTTTGTTGTCGGCACAAAGCGGCATCTCTTGGTCAGTCGATCGACGACGACCCAAATCGAATCAACGTCACGCTCCGTTCTAGGCAAATCCGTTATAAAGTCCATGGAGATCGATCTCCAGCGCTCATCGGGAATGCTCAATGGTTCGAGTAAACCAGGAGGCTTTGTCAGCCTTGGCTTGTTTCGTCGACATGATTCGCAGTCAGCAATGAACGTTTGAATCGACTTGAGCATCTTGGACCAGTACCTGCGTCGTGCTAACGTCAAGTACGTTCGCTCGGTACCAGGATGGCCACTGTAGTTGGTGTCATGACTCTCCTTGATCTCAGCTTCACATCGTTGGGAACAGCGATTCGAGGATAGTCATCCACCGGAGACTGGTACCACAGCAAGCCGTTTGCCTCCGAATAGTATCGGTATAGCTTGTGGTGCTGGTGTTTTTCCTTCGACTTTGAGGTGCTTGTACGTCGCTGGATTGCTGCCCGGATTGTCTAACATCTCGATCTTTGACGTAAGCACCCTTGATCCTCTTCAGCAGCTCTGAATCTGTAGACACTTTTTGTAACCGTATCGAGCTGCTCCGCTGCAAGCTGTAGCAGATTCAGCGGAATATACCCTAGATCCGCCTCGAACGGTGCGAGCTTAGTACTGGAGTTCGCCGTTGAGTTGATAGCAAACTCAGCGTTTGCTAAGTGAATGTCCCAGTCGTCTTGACGTGGACTGACGAAGCATCGAAGATACTCTTCGAGCGTTCGATTCATTCGCTCAGTTTGTCCGTCGCCTTGGGCCAGGTGTGCTACTGTCATGCTGAGTGACGTGCCGATAGACTTGAAGACGTGTTGCCAAAACGCAGACACGAATTTTCTATCTCGGTCGGATACAATATTCGTCGGCATACCGTGAAGTTTCCAAATGTTGTCGATGTAGAGACGGGCAACGCCTTCGGCTGTTACCTTCTTTGTTGTCGGCACAAAGCGGCATCTCTTGGTCAGTCGATCGACGACGACCCAAATCGAATCAACGTCACGCTCCGTTCTAGGCAAATCCGTTATAAAGTCCATGGAGATCGATCTCCAGCGCTCATCGGGAATGCTCAATGGTTCGAGTAAACCAGGAGGCTTTGTCAGCCTTGGCTTGTTTCGTCGACATGATTCGCAGTCAGCAATGAACGTTTGGATCGACTTGAGCATCTTGGACCAGTACCTGCGTCGTGCTAACGTCAAGTACGTTCGCTCGGTACCAGGATGGCCACTGTAGTTGGTGTCATGACTCTCCTTGATCTCAGCTTCACATCGTTGGGAACAGCGATTCGAGGATAGTCATCCACCGGAGACTGGTACCACAGCAAGTCGTTTGCCTCCGAATAGTATCGGTATAGCTTGTGGTGCTGGTGTTTTTCCTTCGACTTTGAGGTGCTTGTACGTCGCTGGATTGCTGCCCGGATTGTCTAACATTTCGATCTTTGACGTAAGCACCCTTGATCCTCTTCAGCAGCTCTGAATCTGTAGACACTTGACTAAGGGCAAGACTGAAGGAAGTGTCGTTGAAGCTGGACACACTCAGGTCATGGAAATACTTCGTATCTGGCTGCAAGTCAGGTCTACGACTCAATGCATCCGCGATACCGTTCTTTGCACCTGGAAGATACGAGAACGTGGGTTGGTACTCAGCTAGAATGTCGTACCACCTAGCCAATCGGCGGTTCGCCATCTTCTGTGTGAACAACCCTTCGAGACTTTTGTGATCCGTCTCGACGATCGGTGGTTTGTCCAAGCAGTAAATTCGAAAAGCTGCTAGCGCGTGTACGATAGCAAGTAGCTCCTGCTGCTGTGTTGGATAGTTGAGCTCCGCGGATTTCATCTTTCGACTGGTATACGCAATGGGTCGCTCAACTCCGTCCACGACTTGGAATAATACTCCACCAACAGCGAATTTGCTTGCATCAGTGCGCAGATGCATGGACTGGCTGAAGTTAGGGAGGTGCAACACTGGAGGATTACACAGTCGCCTCTTCAGCTCCTTGAAATTCTTCAACTGCTCATCATTGAATTGGATCTTCGCGTTCTCTGGTCTTCTTTCTTCAGAGAGTGAACATTGTGCAGTAAATGCTACGTAGTCTGGACAAA